TTGCAGCAGGAATTTGTCACCTCTGTCTAAAGTTAAAGTAGAGGGATTACTTCTCCTATCTAATCCCCTTCTATCCCTTTCTTTGACTCTATCTATCTTCATCTACCGTTCTCCATTCCGCTTTCTCACTTCATTTTTCTACCTCCCAGCGGTGGAGGGTTTGCCTAATGAAGTGGCTGATGGGAGTATATTACAGAGAGACAGAGTGGAGCGGTCGCCTACTCTAAAATCCATTAACCTTACAGTTTCAATCAGTGTGCAGACAAGTCTGAGCTACAAGTCAAAAAGGAGCGTATTAGATCAAGATTTTCACTATTGAGCCTTGCACCTGTTTTTTCAATATTTTGCCCAGATCTTTGTCTGAAACTTTTGTTCTGTCACTCGGTATTGTCATTGTGCTGTCAACACAAGCCTTATTTTAATCAGTTCAGTTGATAGGATTTTCCTGGGTGAGGCACATTGGGTTGAATCTGCCACACAATTGAATAAACTACCAGAATGATTGGAGTTTATTATCAGAATCAGTACAATGACAAACAGGGTTGGAACGGTAACTTTAAAAATATACAATTACCAGTCACATTTAAAAAAATGTAATCAGTAATATAAGTATGTCAATAGAAAAGTCTAAATAAATATCAATAAGATTTTGTATTTATTATGTTTGCGGTATGTTATTTAGTGTTACAAATGTGTCATCTTAAATTCAGGCAGTACGTCTAACTTTAGTATATTGATCTTTATTCTTAAATGTATTTTAACATTGTTACTTTGCTAGTAACCCCCATAAAGAATGTAACAGTAATCTTTGAATGTCTATTTTTAATGTAACTAAAGGAACACAGTTACCCTATTTTTTATATCCTGATTACGATTTTTATCCCGTTACATGTAATCTGTTACTCCCCAAGCCTGGAGACATACTTTTTTGCTATTTTAAAAGATGAGTAAACCAATGCATCCCAACTGTTTAGGAGTTTTTACATATAGAAGCTGTTACCCTTTGTGAGCATTAGCCCTTTGTGCTAAGGCCCTATTTTACTAAACCATGCTCACGTTCAACTAAGGGAGGGCTCCTATACTATTTTTAGGGAGTCTCTCAAACTATTTCGTCAGCAAAGTACAATAACAATACATTTATTATGGTGTTCCTGGCTGTTTTCTTCGGCGTCTATAATACCAACTTATTTGGATATTTTGCAAATCCTAAATTTGCCTCTATATCCAGAAAATGATTTTGATTTGGTACAGTTATGATTTGACATCCTGCAGCACTAAACTGAAATCCTTTCCAAATCAATACTATGCCATTATATCAACTAAATCTAGTTTTTTATCAGAGGAATGTTGTGATATAAAGCCCTTTATATATGTCGTTGAACATTTGTGTGTACGAGAATGCAAATATCAGATTGTAACCTTAGTGAAAGAGTCAAAACTAATGTTTGCAATGTAATTCCTTTAAAGCAAGAGACAAGCAGATCACAATAAAGGAAAAGGACTGCCCTGTATGACGGCTCCTATATGCAATGTCTAATGAAAGGATTATTTATATCCCGAAAAGTGGAAATGGTGCAGTGTTATTGTCAATACTGTCAGTGTCCCTGCCTGGAGGGAGAACAACAAAAAGAATAAATAAATGAAGCCTCCCTGGTCCTAATGATGCAAATGATATGCAGGTTAGATCCAATGCAGGTGGCCACGATTAGTGCTAATTTGTGCCAATTGTAATGATCCATAATTTATCCAAAGTGTTGGTCATGTGGGATAAGTGTATGTGTGCAAAAAGAAAGACGGAACGGATGGTCAAAAAGATGAAGGAGGATAATGAAAGAAAGGGAAGAGTGTACACTTACACACTGAAATGCACACAGATAGAAGCTGCTCTACACACTCGAGCACATTGCCATCCTGAGATCTCTATACACACGATGTGCAAGCACACGAATGTTCCCTTTTCAAATACACGTTGAGTCCCTTTTTTCATTACCACCTCTTTGACTCTTTCTTTCTGTCTATCAGATAGATCGCAGTTTGCGGATTTATAAAAGCTTCCATGTAAAACCACTGCTAATTTATCATATGTATTCTGCCGATTACTCGTGAGTAAGTGATTTGTCCTATTTTGTTTGTTTTTACACCCCACCTTACCTGTTTGCATAATAGTTGGATGATTTGTAATTTTTACATCACAAACAAAAATACTTTTGCACATTAAAAATCATCTAAGGTAATTAGCAGGAATGTTACGACCCTTAAATTGACACCTGTTTATTTATTCAGATGTTGCAATAAAACACAGCATGCCTCCATTTATTACGTAATGCAATTTGGAAGTTGTAAATCATTATTTCTGGACTCTTTTTTTATGATGTTTTTAAAAATGTGTATTTATATTTTATAATTGCTGTCAGTGTCATCTAGGGTTTACTAGGTATGTAGAGAATATTTGTATTAGGTTTTTCTTTCTTCTTTCATGTAGCCTTTTTTCCATTTATGGTCACACAAATTGTCCAAGGCCTTTACTTTTGACATGACTTAATTTGGTAATGATGATCCCTGGTAATGACTAAACCTTGCACTCAAGTGTATATCCATGTTTGTCTTCATGTTTGTTTGTGTGTCTCTTGTTAGCTTCAAAATGTGCCCACATTGCACTGTGCTTACAGTGGAAGGCTGTGAATGGCAGCAACGGGCTTTTGCCTGTCATCTTATCTTGTAAATGAGCTAATGGCTGTTCGTTCGGTCCCCTTAATGAGATCACAAATGCACTGCGGGTCCCGCCACAGGTCAGCATCGCGGAGGCCATTCAAAGGCAATTATTGTTTTAAATGTTGCTTGTGTTGTCGTCTGAAAGCGACTCTCTCCGCTTCAGTGAGGGAAGAAACTTTGAGCCTGACTGGAGGGGTTATTTTTCCTCTCCGGGTTGGAGACAAATGTTTTTACACTCCTACTGTTTTACTTTCCTGAGGCGGCTGAGTGTTCTGTTCTGTCTGAATGGGGAGTGTGTTTATGTGTCCTTGTCTCTGGGCTGATCAGCGTTTAGTATAAACCCTATATATGACAGAATACTGTGAAAACATGGTTTTGTTGCCAGAATACAAAATCATATTTTAATTTATTTACTGATTCCTTTGTGTTAAACCTTGAAATAAAACCCACCATATCCAAATAAATCACCACATAGGTGCTATATTGGAAAAGCATGTTTGCCAGATATCCTTTTTTGGATTAATGCTTTTGATACAGAAAGGAAGCAATATGTATGGCTCTAAATTATTCTTCTGTTGTCTCTACTCCAAGGGAGTGCATGTGTTTGTCAGCGAGCCTCTGTGTTGGCAGATCAGTGGGAAGTGGTAGTCTGCCGGGAAAGCCCTGTTTCTTTGTTCTCCTGCTGACAATGAAGGACTCACAGTCAGTCTAAAGGGAAAAATTATGTCCCAGAGCAGTCTGGGAGAAGCACAAATGCACACATACTCACACACAACAACACACACTACTTCTCACATGCTACTCATGTGGGGCATGACCTCAATAACAGCTACTGTTGTGTTTGGAAAGCCCTCAACACCATGTGCCGACCACTTTTAAAAAGCTGTAACAGTTGGGCCTTGGGTCCAAATAAAAAATGGATTCAGCCAAGTTGAAGAGACTTGTCTTTCCTGGATTGAGATGAACAACAATGCAGGATTTTAAAATACTTGATTTTTTCTTGACTAAAATGTTTAAAATATTAAAGTCTTTACAACTCATCACATTACTATCTAAGATTGTATAGTAATTAATAGAATACCTTTATTGTCATCACACATCAGTGTAACGAAATGCAGTTGGCATCTCTCACTGCAGTACATAAATAAGAACACATCCATAAAAGCAGTGATAAAGCAGAAGAAGCAGCAATAATCAGGTTCATCACTTTACCAGAATGTTAAAATACATTTTTAAAGATTATTCAATAAAGAAAAGCCACAATGTTTAAATATAAATAGTTGCTAACAATTGTTTGATACTTAATAAATATACAAATAAATAACATATGATATTTTTGGCTGCAGTCTTTGATGGGAGGTAGTGTGTTTGTATTTGTGCATGTTCAAAGTTATAGTGAGTTTTGTGGTTGGACAGTGATGGGAGTGATGGAGGCCACAGCTCTGGGAAAGAAGCTGTTCTTCAGTCTGTTGGTGCGTGATTTTATTGACCTGAACCGTCTGCCGGACGGCAGCAGTTTGAACAGTGAGTGGCCGGGGTGTGTGATGTCTCTGATGATACTGCTGGCTTTTTTCTGCAGTCGACTTTTGTAGATGTTGTCAAGGTTGGGCAGCTCAGTCCCAACGATGCGCTGAGCAGCCTTCACCACCCGTTGCAGGTCCTTCCACTCTGCGGCTGTGCAGCTGGTGTACCACACAGTTATGCAGCTGGACAGGGTGCTTTCAATAGTCGACCGATAGAAGTTTACCAGCAGTTTTTGTGGAAGCCTGGCCTGTCTCAGTTTCCTCAGGAAAAACAGTCTCTGCTGTGCCTTTTTCACCAGGTTCGAGGTGTTTGAGGTCCAAGTTAAATTATTGGAGATGTTGACTCCAAGGAACCGTAGGTCCTCCACGCTCTCCACTGCTTCTCCATGGATGTGGAGGGGGAGATGACTTCCTTTTTTGTCCTCCTGAAATCAACAATGGGCTCCTTAGTCTCCTTATTGTCTGTAATAAGACCGACTACTGTGGTGTTGTCTGCAAATTTGACTATGGAGTTGGAGGTGTGGGGTGCAGTCGTTGTGTGAAGAGCATGGGGCTAAGCACACAACCTTGTGGGGTTCCTGTGTTTAGTATAAGGGGGGATGATAGGTGCTTACCGACTCTGACTGGCTGTGGTCTGTCAGTCAGGAAGTCCATGACCCACGAGCAAAGTGAAGAGCCACAGGCAAGAATATTCAGTTTGCTAACCAGTTTGTGGGGCATGAAATCCACAAATAGCATCCTCACATAACTGCCTGGTAATTCCAGATGTGTCAGAGAGGTGTGGAGGGCTGAGTTGATGGCGTCTTCTGTGGAGCGCTTTGGCCTGTAGGCAAACTGATGCTTGTCAAGGTCAGGTGGGATGATTGTTCTGATATGGGAAAGCATCAGTTTCTCAAAGTTAAGTTAATGATGTCAACGTGCCTAACCCAATTCTTTCTTCTCTTCCACCACAGGTAAGGAGGAACCGACCACCTATACCTGCACTACGTGTAAGCATTCGTACGGAAGCGCCTGGTTCCTGCTGCAGCATGCCCAGAACTCCCACGGCTTCCGCATCTACCTGGAAAGTGAACACGGTAGCCCTCTCATCCCACGCATGGGCGGGCCATCCTCCCTGGGCGGGGGCGCGGACTGCTCTTCTCAGCCTCCTCTCCACGGCCTCCATCTGCCTCTTGATGCAAGCCCGTTCAACCTCCTCCGCATGCCTGGCTCGGGCTCAGGTGGAAGGGACAGCATCGGATTAGGGGGTGGACTCGGAGCCCTCGGCGCTGCCGGTGGGGGCCATCATCAGCGTTTCCCTCCCACCCCACCCCTCTTCAGCCCCCCTCCAAGGAACCACATGGACCCCCACCACCTGAGCCCAGAGGACCTGGCGCTGGCAGCCCACCATCCGAGTGCCTTTGACAGGGTGCTGCGCCTCAATCCCCCTCTGCCCCTGGACCCCCCTCCGACAATGGACTTCTCGCGGAGGCTACGTGAGCTGGCAGGCAACAATTCAGGGTCCACTCCACCGCTATCCCCCAGCCGCCCCAGCCCCATGCAACGCTTGCTCCAGCCATTCCAGACAGGAGGGGGAAACGGAAGTGGAGGAGGTACAGGGGGCAGCAAACCTCCATATATTGCCACCCCACCCCCTCTTCCAGGCACCATGCAGTCACCCGTGGGTTCCCAGACCACTCCTACTACCCCTCTACCCTCAGCAGGTGTGACACCCTCCTCTACCACCCCCTTAAAATCGAAGTGTTGTGAGTTTTGTGGCAAGGCCTTCAAATTTCAGAGTAATCTAATAGTGCACCGTCGCAGCCACACCGGAGAGAAGCCGTACAAATGCCACCTGTGCGATCACGCTTGTACACAGGCCAGCAAACTCAAACGCCACATGAAGACACATATGCACAAATCTTCCTCGCCAAACACAGGCAAGTCAGAAGACGGTCTGTCTACAGCCTCCTCCCCGGAGCCTGGCACCAGCAATCATTTGGGCAGTGCAAGCAATGCCCTTAAGTCGGTTGTGGCCAAGCTGAAAAGCGAGAACAACCGCAGGCGACGTGAAAATGGGGAGGAGGAGGAGGAAGAAGAGGAGGAAGAAGAAGAGGAAGAGGAGGAAGAGGAAGAGGAGGAGGAGGAAGAAGAGGAAGTAGAGGAGGAAAAAGAGCCGAAAGAAGAGAGGGCGGTCAGGAGAAACAACAACAGCTTTCCCTTTGCTCTGAACCTTGAAACGCCAAGACAGCATGAAAACAATGGTGGTATAGGAAGCCGACTTGGAGGAGTTCCTGATGAGGGGCTGATCCCCCGATCACTGCCTGAGGTGATGCAGGGGATGGGCCTGGCCGCTAGCATGCATCACTTCAGCGAAGCCCTCAGTGCACATAAAAGAAATACCGTGGCCCAGGAGAACCACCTGCACCACCACCTAAACCAAGACCATCACCACAATCGGGCGATGTGTGATGGGGACTCGGTATTAGAGAACGATCGTGGGGAGGAGGGTTCTGTCTCAACAGTGAACGGGCGGGGAGCATCCCCTAATGAATCTGCCTCTGTCGGCCTCTCTAAAAAACTTCTTCTGGGCAGCCCCAGTCCACTAAGTCCTTTTACCAAACGCATCAAGCTTGAAAAAGAATTTGACCTGCCCACTCCCACAATCCCAAACACTGAGAACGTCTACTCCCAGTGGTTGGCTGGCTACGCCGCCTCGCGTCAACTCAAGGACCCTTTCCTGAACTTTGGAGATTCCAGACAATCGCCCTTCGCCTCTTCGTCTGAGCATTCTTCGGAGAATGGCAGTTTGCGTTTCTCAACCCCTCCGGGGGAACTGGACGGTGTGTCAGGCCGCAGTGGTACATGTAGTGGGGGCAGCACACCACACCTTGGACGGCCCAACTCCAAGGACGGCCGCAGGAGTGATACTTGCGAGTATTGTGGCAAGGTGTTCAAGAACTGCAGTAACCTGACAGTGCACCGGCGCAGCCACACAGGGGAGAGACCGTACAAGTGTGAAATGTGCAACTATGCTTGTGCCCAGAGCTCCAAACTTACTCGCCACATGAAGACCCACGGTCAGGTGGGCAAAGACGTGTACAAGTGTGAAATTTGTAAGATGCCCTTCAGTGTCTACAGCACTTTGGAGAAACACATGAAAAAATGGCACAGTGACCGCCCTTGTAGTACCGAAATAAAGTCAGAGTAGAAGGCCGAACTATGGAACCTTTTCCCCGCAGCAATGTCCGCCATTAGTCCCCTGTTTATTCCCAGACCCTTGTAGATTTACCCAATCCCTAACACTCCACTTTCACCAGTCTGGTGGAAGATTAAGACCATGTGCTCTGCACCAGCACACCCCGTTTCCATTACCCATTGAATGCATGATCTGTATCGGGGCAATACTCTTGCATTGACGCAAAACTTCGAGCCTTTCTCTTGTGCAATAATTTACATGTTGTGTACTATTTTCTTTTTTGAGTTTTCCTTCTCCATTTTTAAGAATTAGTCGGCATGCATAGTATGTTTTTGCTAATCAAAAAAAGAAAATAACTTGTCCCTGGTTGGTTAGTTGTTAAGTAAATGTGTTGCTGTTTTTCTCTTGTTCTGTTTTTTTCTTTTTATTCTTCAAAAAGAGAAAAGACAAGAAAGATACATCCATGCTGCATACATTCTGTGACACATATCATGTACAGTTTTGTTTCGTAACATGGAAAGAAAACAGTCTGTGACTTGACCCTACTCTTACAACCCTGGAAATGCACTCATCCTGATCTTTCTAAAAGACGGAATGTTCACACAGGGTTAAAAAATAAGAAAAATCATACATTGGCTGGATGACTAAACTGAGAGTAACGATAGCCTTCAAATTTCTTTCAAAAAGACAAAGGGTGCGCTAACAATTCAATTTGTACTATCATTTAATAGAGTAAGAAAGAGTGCCTTTGATATCTCAACACTGCATTGGCCATAATCTTATCTGGTATAAGTTTAGGGTCACGTTAGATCAAGCTAAAAGGTTTAAGCCACCCAGGATAGGTTCTTGCATCAAGCACCTGACTGCTGAAATGGACTGTGACGACTCATCTGAGAGTTCTCGTTAATCATCATTTAGCTACCTATTACATGTTCAATAGGTTATCTTTAATATGTGGATTTCATTGCAAGCATGGTACAAGCAGTATTATGTATATCTGAATTGTTTGTTGTTTTGTTCCGGTGAGGAGGTACTTTTGAGATAAAGGTAATCTGTAACGTACAATCCTGAATTTGAGGGATACGGCGCATGGCTGAGAAACGTTGAGTATCCGCATTAGCACAAACCTCCAAGACGCTGTTTTTGCTATGTCAGTGTGAGGAACAATGCATAAAGTAATATATGAGCTCCAAGACAGGCTAACTTTATTCCAGAGCATTGAAATAACTACAAGCTAGACAGACAGAAAGCTACACAGAACTGCAAAATTCCTTACATTCTATTATCAAAACAGGGTCATTAGCTAAGAATCGCAGAAAAAAGAACGAAAGAATTGCAAAAAATATCTGTACTCCAGGGCTCTTGAAAAGAGTGAATGCGATCATTTTAATCAGTATGCAGAGGCTAATGCAGGGCACTATTTTTGTTTGCTGTTGCTTTTCAACCCGAAAGGAGATTTTGTTATACCCTTGTTGAGTTTCACACAAGCTTCTCATAGTATGGCACTTGCTACTCTGCCTGACATGCGTTTTCTAACACTGATGCAATGTTGGTACATGGGTTGAGTCTAAAAAAGCTAGATTTTCATTTGTAGGACATGAAATGCACTATTTCAATTTCCCAGTTTACAAGTTTATGCTAAAGGGGAAATCTTTGTTGATATGCTGTCAGATGACGAGGGTCCCATTGTTAAACGCAGTAATCTATGAGATGCATAATCTATTGCCAGCAACTCCGCCCTCATGAACCTTGACTTCTGTACCCTTGCCGTTTCACCTTTGACCATTCGTCAATTTGTTTCCACTTGAAACACCAGTGCTTTGCCTGGGCTGAAGATGTACCCTGCCTGCAAGGTCTGTAAATTAAAAGGTTTGTTACACAAATAACCAGGGCTCTTACATGATCGGCTCTGATTAAAAAAATGCTAAGGTGTTGTAACTTTGTAGTCAACCACACCTGTATAATCTGTAGACCTTGCCGACTAGACACTCACATCTTGTTGCTGACACTGCAAGAATCCGTTTTTGTACAAATCTTCCTTTAATTATAGGTATAAAAAATAAACGTTTTTGCAAATTACACTTCACTATCTTTTAGGGGGAAACTGTATTTAAGTTTTTTTGTCGTATCTCTTTTCCTCAGCGTCTTGGTGGTGTTCAAGACTCCGATCACAGTATATATGAAATGATAAAAAAAAGGAGAAAAAAAAAACAAACAAAAAAAAATCCTGTGATGGTTTTTGTATTTTATTTTGCCTTGGCTCTTCACAGCTCTTCAGGTTGAAATACAATCTGCATTGGGGAAAGGATTAAGATTATATATGAATATATAATAAAGAACTTAAAATATAGGAAAATGCACACTCATGTCGATTCCTATGCTTAAACACATTTATGGTCTACTTTTTCTGTATTTCTAGAATTGTATTTGAATTCAATGTTCACTTAGAGTAGGCACTATAGTATTTATATTGAGGCTCGTATTTTTAACTGTTGCTTGTTCTCTCTAAAAGGTATTTACCATACCTTTTTTGGTAGTGGAAAAAAAATCCCAAGCTGCCACGGTATATTTTTTTAATTTGGCAGGATAATATAGTGCGAATTATTTGTATGTTTAAAGAAATAAAAGGAAAAAAACCCATAAAAAGCAGCTAAAGTATGTGGCATTGGGAGGCATCACAGGCCATCAGATGGCCGCCGCTCTGTTTCCTTTCCACAGAGGTGGTTGTACATATCTTCTTTGGGTTTTGTTTGGGACTTCCTTCCCCCCCCCCCCCCGCCATTCTTGTATGCAGTAATACAAGCTGACGTCGGCCTGTTCTGTTGTGTGCTTCTGTCTCTCTCACCCCCTCCCACCTGGCTACATTCCAACATCAAGAGAGGGAAAAAAAAAGTTTAAAAACACTTCATATGCAGTACATGGATTACGAAAAAATCGTCAAAATAAATACATTTAAAAAGAAATTAAATGTTTTGCAGTTTTTTTTCATTGCCAAATACTAAATGGTGCTTTATATTTAGATTGGGTATAATTTCATATGCAAAGCATATTTGAAAAATGACCTGGGGGGCGTGGAGAAGCCTGCTTGAGTTGAGACTTTTTTGTAAATGGCAATGCGGAATATTTTGGTATCAGCCTTTTCTATTCCTATTCTGAGAGCTGTTTGTTGTAACTTGAACTTGAACTTTATCTTTTACTACGGGAGTTACTATTTATTATTATTATTTATTTTATGCTCTGTTCAAAACAGAGACATGGAATGGATGATTATTTTTGGTTTATTTTTATTTGATATTTGATTATAATATAATTTGTTTTCTTTTTGTAATGGTGGCCCATGGTCATTGGACAAACCTAGCTCTTACATTTCTGTTGTACATTTTTGGGGTCTCTGTTCAGTTGTATTGGGAAAACCATTGTCTGTGTTTTCTGGCAGATGTCTGCATTATCCTGTTCACACGCCCATTTTGTCCCTTTATCGAAAAACAATTAATAAAAAAAATGAAAGTAAAATGGCACTTGTCGCTTATCTCCACTGTGTGTTCTATGTGTGTGTGTGTGTGTGTGTGTGTGTGTGTGTGTGTGTGTGTGTGTGTGTGTGTGTGTGTGTGTGTGTGTGTGTGTGTGTGTGTGTGTGTGTGCATAAGTATGTGTGTGATTACCACGTTCCCAACCCCATTGGTATCGTTAACCTTTTGAGATCTTACCAAAAGTGATTTAAAAAAAAAAAAAAATCAGAATCCTGGGAAAAAAGGAAGAATTCTGAGAAAAATTATTCTTTCCTTTTTCTGAAAATCTCAACATTTTGAGAAGTTAGCATTTTAAGAATAAAGTCAAAGTTTAGGGAAAAAATTCAGAATGTTGTGAAAAATGTCTGGATTTTTATATTAAAGTCAAAACTTTTGAAAAATGTCAGGATTCTAAGAAAGAGGTCAGAATTCTGACTTCAATAATTCTGACTTTTTTTTGCTGAAAATATCCGGAATTCTGATATTAAAATCAGAATTCTAATCAGATAATTTTGACTTAATTCTCATTTTTCTGAATTTAATATCAGAATAACATTTTTTAAAAAACTTTTCGGAAAATCTTGAAAATAAATCCAATATGGCCCTAATCCTCTTCCTTATTTCTTAGAAATATAATGCATTCTTCTTCTTAAAGGGTTCTCATGTAAATGTATATTTATCATTAATCACTCCAAATGGAAGAGTTCTCATAAGTCAGCATTAGCAGACAGCTATTCAGCGCAGTGTCTTGCACTAGCTTGAACCCAATGAACTCAGCCCTCCATCACCAACCTCACTAGCCTATGGCACTGTACTATATGTACTTTATGACTTTCTATACATGTGTGCGAACTGTCATTGTCTTGCCCAGGAGGGATGGGGGCGGGGGTTCAACAAGTGGATATACCACTGCATTAAAAAATCCACAACTCCTGACACCTGCATGTCTGCAGTGTCATAGTACCTGTTGGTCTAGACATCCCAACTGGTTTTAGTGCATGTTTGTGTAAAGTACACGTGTAAGTAAGTGCCTCACACCATATTCATTTAGTTAGCACGCTATCTCGAAGCACATACTGTATGTGCACTATGCATGTCACTCCTCAAAGTATGGTATATTTTGCTGATAACAACTGTTCCCTATGTGCCTTTTAACCTCAGCCACACACACACGCACACACACACACACGCACGCACGCACGCACGCACGCACGCACGCACGCACGCACGCACGCACGCACGCACGCACGCACGCACGCACGCACGCACGCACGCACGCACGCACGCACGCACGCACGCACACACGCACGCACGCACACACACACACACACACACACACACACACACACACACACACACAGGGCAGATGTGTGTAAATCCTTTCAAAGGGTTAACCCACACAAGGCTCCTGGACCTGATGGCATCCCTGGCCGTGTTCTCAGGGTGTGTGCAGTTCAGCTGGCAGAGGTGTTCACAGACATCTTCAACATGTCCCTGCTGCAGTCTGTTGTCCCCACATGTTTTAAACACTCCACCAGCGTTCCTGTCCCCAAAAAAAAACAATAATCACCAGCCTCAATCACTGCCGCCCAGTAGCACTCACCTCCATCATTATGAAGTGCTTTGAGCGGTTAGTCAAAACCTTCATCACCTCCTCCCTCCCTGACTCTCTGGACCCCCTGCAGTTTGCCTACAGAGCAAACAGGTCCACAGACGACGCCATAGCCCTCACCATCCACACTGCCCTCTCACACCTGGACCAGAGGATCACATATGTGAGAATGCTGTTCATTGATTACAGTTCAGCATTCAATACCATTGTGCCCTCCAAGCTGGCCATCAAGCTCAGAGACCTCGGGCTCAACAGCGCCGTCTGTGATCTGGCCGATGACGGTCGTGTCGTCAGCAAACTTCACAATGGTGTTGGAGCTGGAGTAGAGGAGAGGGCTGAGCACGCAGCCTTGAGGGGCACCGGTGTTGAGGATCAGGGTGGAGGATGTGATGTTTCCCACCCGCACTGCCTGGGGTCTGCCCTTCAGGAAGTTCAGGATCCAGTCACAGAGGGCGCTGTTGAGCCCGAGGTCTCTGAGCTTGATGGCCAGCTTGGAGGGCACAATGGTATTGAATGCTGAACTGTAATCAATTAACAGCATTCTCACATATGTGTTCCTCCGACGAGACGGCGTACAGAGAGGAGGTCGGAAAACTGACATCTTGGTGCCAGGATAACAACCTCCATCTCAACATCAGCAAAACAAAGGAGCTGATTGTGGATTACAGGAAGCAGCAGGGAGAAAGACACGCCCCCATCGCCATCAATGGGACTATGGTGGAGAGAGTCAGCAGCTTCAGATTCCTTGGGGACATCACTGAGGACCTGACATGGACTCTTCACACTACCACCATCACCAAGAAAGCTCGACAGCGGCTCTTCTTCCTCCGCAGGCTGAGGAGGTTCAATATGGACTCCAGGACACTCTGCAACTTCTACAGGTGCACCATAGAGAATATCCTGACTGGCTGCATCACGGCCTGGTACGGCAGCTGCACCGCCCTCAATCGTAAGGCTTTACAGAGGGTGGTGAAAACTGCACAGAACATCACCAGGACGGAGCTGCCATCCATGGAGGACCTTTACTCCCAGCGGCTCAGGAAGAAATCCCTCCGGATTCAGTGTTTCCCCTAGGATGGAGTCATAGCAGCGGTGCTAAGGCACGTGGGCCCAGCATAATGTGAGTGCGGAGCGCGTGTAATTTTTTAGTGTGTGCGAAGTGCGCCCCGCCAATTTGTTTCTATGTGTCTGCCAGCACAAGAAAGGCTCTTGAGGCCTAGTACCTAGCCAATTTGCTGCCCTATGTGAGATTTTATAAAGAATCAATGAAAAATCTCTACAACAAACAAATACACTACAAAAACAGAAACTTATTGACATAGGTAATATACATCAAAATGGCTTCAAATGTATTCAGTATTATATGATTTTTTTTTGAACATTTTAAAGTAAAATGCTTCAATCTGGTGCACATTCAGCACACAATTACTAGAGACTAGATCTAGGCGTGTGGTGTAGTGGGTTGTGAGTTGGTATTCGGATCAGGAGGTCACAGGTTCAAACCCCACTGCAGTCAGCATGTCGTTGTGTCCCTGGGCAAGACACTTCACCCCAAATTGCTCCTGTGGGGATTTTCCACAGTATTGAGTATGTAAGTCGCTTTGGATAAAAGCGTCTAACAAGTGACATGTAATCTAGGGGGTACAACTCTAAAACACCCATATGAAAAAGATCGGTTTACATTTTAATAATCAAATAAGTATGTGAACATAACCAATAACCTACCATAGCCAATAACAAATACATGTAACTTATTTTATTTTTGTTGTTTATTTATATCTTATTTTACCTAGTTAACATTTATTAATTTATGCATATTTTTGTATCTCTCCAAATTTAAACGATATTTTTGGTTTACTGTCCTATAGTATACATATACAACCTGTTTTTATTTATCCTAATAATTATAAAGGAGTGCCTTGAAAATATGTATTTACATAATTTGTAAACTAAACTCATATTTGTTTGAGACCCACTGAGATAACTTAGACTAAAATTAACTATCTAAACACTCAGAGAGTCCTCACTGAGCCTCTCAGTCTGACAGGAGAGCTCTCCTCCACCATGGTTGTAGAAACATCTACTTCTTACTGTATATCCGTTAGCGCAGCTAGCACCAGATTCTAATAACAACAGCGCCGGTACCGGTGCGCCCTCTCTCTCTCTCCCTCGCTCTCTCGCTCGCACTTTGGCTGTGAGCTGCGGGCGCCTGATAAGCCAACATCCCCCACTTTCATCACTTACAGCGCCTATGTCAAAAATCGGCCCTGCCAGTACATACAGTGGCAATGTCTCAAGATTTAGCAAAAATACACCTTTATTGAACATACAGTAACACAAATACTACAAATCCACATAAAAAACAATCAAAAACGAAAAAGGGTCGCCACTTATTATTATTGGAATAAAAAATAAAAAAGTTTAAATTATTATTATTTTTTTTTTTTTTTTGGGTACCTGGCTGGCGCCCCCTAGCACCGCCGCTATTTGTATATAGGGGAAACACTGGGATTATAAAATACCCCCATCACCCCAGCCACAAACTGTTCAGTCTGCTGCCGTCTGGAAGGCGTTACCGCAGCATCCGAACAAAGACAACCAGATTCAGAGACAGCTTCATCCCGCAGGCCATAAGACTGCTAAACAACTGAACTGCTGAAACAATGTCATAACATTCATCTGCTACTTAGTAATTATTTATCTATTATCTAATATATCATTCCAATAACTTGTATATAGACCAAGGGGCAAACTCTGGAGAATAGCCGGGACGCCAATACGGAAGTGCCACACACTGCAGTTCATATATTGGCCGATAGGCGATGGCTGAAGAAAGGAGCAATTTCCATAGACCCCCATGTTAAAATGCCCAATTTTACAGCAGAAAAAAACATGTTTCTACCCCTGGCTCCATACATTTTATTATCAATATAGTTAGATTCCACCTTCATGATTATGGATCTGTGAGTGAATTGTTTTCTAACACGACCCTTTTATTTATATTAGGTCTTAACGTTTTTGCATAAATTAGGGCGTGGTCACATTGAGTGACAGCTCTGTCAAGTGACTGCTGCTGCTAGCTTCTCGTCTCTCTGCTAGCTGCTCCGTGAAGCTACTGGGACTCTGCCTGCTCAGCTCATCCAGGGAACACAACTTGAAGCCGGCCGTGGTTGTTTGTTCTTCATGCTTATATATCGGACTATTGTGACTCGCTCTGCGGTTAAAACAGACGGTGCATGAATGCGGTTTTGCGGTAAGTGCTTTATTTATGTGTTAATGATTTTAATCAGCTACGTAATGAATGTTAAGGCTTAGGTTAGCGTGTAGTGAACTGACAGAACTGGACTCCTCACAGCAGTGAACTTCAGCACAGGTACAAAGACTCTTTTTTTCATAC